CTGCAGATTTATGCAGAATGATTTTGGGAGTATCACAACTAAAACCTTAACATAAGAACTAAAAAGTAATACCATTTTAACTTGTATTTAATGTTTACAAAGCAAATCCAATTAGACTTTATTTGGTAAACAAAGCAAGTCTTCTATATAATATGTCTACTAAAAGCTGTATTGTAAATAAATTATATGAACATTATATGAATAAATTATATAAATATTTTGATATTAGTAAAAAATTATACTGAAATTAATTAAAAAACTAAATAAATATAAATTTACACACATTTACACAAGTAAATAAAAAGAATCAATGATGGGCTAAAAATCTGCAGAAATCTGTGGAATTCTGAGCATGCAGATTTCATGTGGGCCTAGTCATCATCATATTCGTATCTAGAGCATAAAATCAGTGTTTCTGATAAAGACTGACATAGCAGCATGTACTGTTCATGCATATCTGTGACAAGTTCAGCAATGTGTCTCTCTCTGTACGGCTGTCACTCAAGCTCCTGCAGCAGGAAGTAGCTTGCACTGCATTGCCATGGGCTCTCTGTCTCCATGGCAACCGTCTCTGAGTGAGGGGTGTGTCAGCTGGTAGGAGTATGGCAGCCGGATGCAGGGGGATCTGTTTTTTTTTTTTTTTCAGGTCTTTTTAGCGTGCTGTGCTCAAGTTCATAGTACAGTGTAGATTATGTAATTGTATAGAACTGTCTGCCTCACAAGTGCCTGGGTGAAACTTGTTCAGACTTGTCCTGTGCACTTTAACGGAGCTTTTCTCACATTGTTTATTTCTTTAAAGTTCGTCCTTTCTCTTTATGTGGTATTTCTGTGTTAATAACTCAGTAAGTAACCATGTTCCTTATTTTTGTAGATTTGTTTGATAGAGTGTCATTGTGCATTTTGGTTTAAATCGCCTCAGGAAAATGTTAAATGTGTAAACATAATAGCTAAAATGCGCCCCGCTAAACAACTCATTGGGTTGTTAGTAATCTAATGATTATTTGTTATCATCAACGCGTTGCTTGCCATGTGTTGTTGATGTTAGATTGTATTCAGTTTGATTTTGTTATGTCACTGTATGAAAATATAACAATTTGGAATGTTTATATTTATCGGCTATAGTTTATCGGTTATCTGCCTCATAAGAGTTATCGGTTATCGATATCGGCCAAAAAACCCATATTGGTGCATCCCTATAGAAGATTTAAACATTCGAAACAATGCAGTTCTCACTTCTGCATAAATAGATCAACACTTTTTTAAACATCACCTCATACTTCACTTTCTTGTCAAATCTTCTGAATAATCAAATACTCTGTAGTAGGGGTGTAACGATTTATCGTTGTATGATTTATTGCGATGCAAAATAATATGCCTCGTGGCGTTATGACGATTTTATTACGATATGACGTCCGTTTTCTCTTATTAGTTGAGCTGTTTGCACGTGAGCTAGGTTCCACCAGCTGTCGCACGTGAGTTCAGATTGCAGCAGCAGTAATGTTAGCAGACCAAGATGAGTGGAGCTGAAATAGAGGATGGCCTATCCTCTCAAAATCAGACGTCTGGCAACATTTCGGTTGTACAGTCATTGCTTTAGACTCGTCCGCTTTTTGACACGCATACTGGTTCAAACATAGCCTAAGTTTTAAAGTCTTCACAGTGATTTACAGACTTTGCACAGCGACATGGATACCTCCTAATGGTGTTAAAAGAGTCACATACTGTATTTATAAGCTACAATTCACCCTAAAATATCATTCTGTCTTCATATAATGATGTATTGGTGGCCACAAAATCACACATGACGTGAGCTGACCGTGAGCTGTTATCACAGAGGGCAGACTATGACACGCGCACGTCTGCTTCAGTGAACAGAACCTGCAGGTTGTGACTAACAGGTAATAAAGTAGTAAACAACATTCAGTTTGTGGAACAGAGTGATCGTTCAGGAGCCGTGTGGGAAGTATGAACAGCACTTAGAAGTGGAAATGAAACCGAAAGCGTGCACATTATTTAAATAATCATATCGCGTTTTAGAGTTATGATTACGACGAGCATTAACTCTTTTGAGTACAGAGGTACACAAAAATGCACGTCAACATGATACACTTGATAGCGCCGACATCAGCGACGCCGAAGAAAAAGTAAACCTGCCTAAACTGCTGAAAAGAGCCACGACTGTCCTGTGTAATGAAAAGACGACCACCCTGTCACTCATCATGCCCAACATGAAGACAGCCATCCATAAAAACCTCTCAGACAGATACACATAAGTTCAGGATTATCTTATAGAACTGCTGATTACCTGGAAATGTAGATTTTTTTTTTTTTTGCACACACAAAAAACGCAAGTGACCAAGCAAAGCCTTAAGCTCTTACTGTTAAATTCAATTGAATTGAATCATTTCAATAATATTTTATAAAAAGTTTTTTAATTGTTTTATTTTCCAGAGACCGCCTGTTTAATTTACTTTCTTAAAGAAGGTTCAGTTTAATAAGTTAAAACAAAAGAAATACATACAAAATAGTTTACTTGGTAATTAAATTTTTTAAAAATAAAATTTGCATTTTAGTTTAATTTTCATCTTTTATTCCAAATATCGTGATACATATCGAATCGTGAACATTATATCGTGATATACATTGTATTGTGAGCTGAGTGTATCGTTACACCCCTACTCTGTAGTATCTGACATGTCCCCCCCATTCAAGATGCTTCACATTAGCTTTTCATTTGATGCACATGAGCGCAACCACTAACACTGGCAGAGCTGTGATAAAAACGCTAATGGAGGAGCTACCCTGCCCTGTCCTGCCCTGTCTTCATATTTCGGTAGAGATTACGTCAAGCATCTAATAAAAAATGCACTTCATGAGACCTTTAAATGTAAATCACATTACATTGTATTAATATATTAATCTTTTTAATTAACAGCACAATTTATAACTGGCTGCTTTATTTTTTTAAATGCCACCAAAGAGTCTGCATCACGCTTGAGTGTTGCTTACATAACCGGCCATTTAAAGAGTTTTCACACTCTTCAAACCTTTTCTCCCCTGTGAAAAACAATGTGTTTGTGTGTTGCTTTGTGTTAAATGACAGCGAAGCGGCAAAGTTTCGGGAATTGGTAGTTGGTGTGAATGGAATGCGCAGGTAAACGGATGAATCACGCTGCACTTTGATACGATGACAAATCATAATTATTAATTATCCAGAATGAAGCATCACATGAATAATTAATTAATAATGTTTTCCATTAATCCAGCAAATGATGTCTCTTAACAAGTACATTTTTAAGATTCTGTCACTAAACTGACCAGTTTTTTTTATAATTCAGTAAATCTATAAACCGTATTATCAAATCTAAGAAAAAGTAGGTCATCATTAGGCCCAGATGGAACGTGTGATTGGTTCAGAAACACATTTTTTTGCAACAAATTTGTTTCAAAAGATTAATTGTAAATATGTGCCTACATTTCTGCATTACTGTTAACCTAAAACAAACTGACAGCGCTAGGAAAAGCAAACAAGAGATAAAAATCTATTTGCCCAAGCAACTGTTCTGTTTTACCTTGCTTTTACATTAAATTTAAGTCAATTCATCTTAATTTCTATAGCACTTTTACACTTTTTTTAGCACTTTTAGTGTCAAGGCTGCTTAGCATAGAAGTTCTAATAAATTGAAAACTGCTTTAGTAGTTTAGGGTTTAAGTTTAGTTTAGTTCAGTGTAGTTTAAATTTCAGTGCTGAAAGTCCAAACACTGAAGAGCAAATCCATTGATGACAAGTCCCAAACTAAGCAAGCCAGTGGTGAGAGCGTAAAGGAACAAGCTTCACCAGTTGACGAAAGTGAAGGAAAATAGAAAAAAGAAAAACATTTGACCCAAACTACAACTCATAACTGAGCTCTAGTGCAATACTGTACCAGGTAAACGACCCAGAAAACTACTAGCTATGTTATGTAAACAAATTTGTTTACAAATCATACATTATGATTAATTTGAGACAAGTTTGAGGTCCAACTGAAATTACATTATAGTAAGTTTGAGGTCTTACGATACAGCAGTATTATTGCCAAAAAGGGCCTTTATTCATAGATAATCTAGCAATTTGTGTCCAAAAGTACAAATTATGTTTTTTGTACTGTCTCTAGTTTAAATTCACCTAAAATATGCAGTAAAATATATGCATTGTATATGTAAGTAAATATTGTATATGAAATGTATGTAAAAAGTACTTTTTTTTTACAGAAATGTAGTCACATGTTTTTCACACAATTTTATTGTTGTGTGACATATTTAAATAGGGAACATATTTTCTAATTATTTAATAAACAAATAGCTGACATTTTTATTGAAGTGAATTGAGGATTCCAAGTTGGCCTGATGATTAAATTAGTTTTCGCTAAAGCAAAATATCAAAAAATTGTATATACAGTACAGAAAATGAACAAAAACTCTCAAACCCAGGCTCATTCTGAAAACGTAGCCCTATATACATTTCTAGAGACCACCAAATTTGTCTCAGGAGGTATAATTTTTTGCAGTTTTTGTTTTTCGCGATTCTACCAGAGGCCGCTATGTTTGCTTTTTGAGATCTCAAATTTCTCTCGCAAGTGCATGCATTTATGCATGCTTTTCTCATATAAATCCACCGGAGGCCACTGTCGACTGACTGACCAACCGACCAATAAACCAAACCCCATCATCACGGTCAACTCACGCTCTGTGTCTCAAGTCCGACGACGCACATGTCGAGCTAACAGACAAACTGGTAACAGCAGGAAAGCCACCCATACGCAAGTAAGCGGTCAGCTGCTAGCGTGAAACGGTTCGGCGTCATACCACCCGGTAGTGTTTGTTTTAAAGACAAAATGCAGCCATACGTAGCTCTGGCTACATAATTTGTGATCTCCAGGAATGTATATAGGGCTACGTTTTCAGAATGAGCCTATATTACAAACACCACATACTAAAATTAGAAAAAAGTTTGATCGTACCTTGATGCATCAAAACTGTCATAAGATCCCACAGTGTAGTGTCGAAAGAGCTTCCTTCTCTCTGAACGGTCCGCTCTGGCATCTGTGAAGACATGTTTACAGATATTTAATTCAGATCATCACCCTGATTGTGTAAAATTGCAGTGTTGCAAGGCCTACATAATATGTGCTTATTACAAAGTGCTATAATATTCTTTTTTTACTGATTATTCACACACATAAGCCAAAGTTTCAACCGCAACTCTGGTGTGTTAAAGTACAAACTCACAAACTTTGACAGCTTCAGCATCATTATCATCACTTTCACGCTGAATATAAAATGCGCAAATGGAATAAAAATAAGCACTGGAATTTTAGAGAGGTACAGCAGATGTGATAAAGTGAGAATGTTATAAAGCTTTGGTTACATAATTACATAAAAAACTCTGTCTAGTCACAAAATGGTCTTACTGTGTGCCATATGTCATACAGTCCCAGGTGCCATTTTTTAAACATATTTAATCATTTAGCCAACACGATACTGACTGTGCTCTGGAAAATAAAGAAGTAAATAACTAAATGTGCTTACAGTTTCACCAACCGGTACCTCGGCATGCAGATTTGTCACTAAAAATCAATACCAGCATGACGCGCGCACAAAATTAATTTAAAAAACAATCACATTCTTGAACACACGCCAGTAAATCTTCAAAACAGTACATGTAAAACTATACCACCTTCCTCATGTAATTGCAACCAATAAAAATCCCTTTGGAAGACAGGGACCGTTTGGCCCATAATGGAGCCAAACTAGACTAGTCCTCTGAGAGAGCTAAGCAAGGCCAAATATTGACTGCGTTTTATGGAGGGAGCCAGGAGATGAGCCAACAAAGCAAATGAAGAGACTTTTTTATGTCACAGAGATTCATCGTCTATGTGGCTCCGCTTTTCTGAAGTGTTCAGTTGAGGATGCTCCTATAGACCATTTCAATGTGGTCATGTTATTGGCCCATGAACATTTCCTGCTTGTTATCAAACTACTTCATAACTGTAAGAGGTAATTCAATCATAACTTAATGTTAAATCAGAAATCATAACATTATTTATCAATATGTGGCTTTTTTTGTATTCTCAGAAGCTATCGAAAAAAAAAATATGTAAAACAGGAAATACATTGGGACTTACTTTGTTTACATCCCTCAAAATGATCTATAGCAGTGGTTCTCATACTTTTTTCACCAAGTACCACCTTAGAAAAAATTGTCTCTCCAAGTACCACCATAATGACCAGTATTGAAATACAGTAGCGTAGAAGGCCTAATTAGGCAGCTAAAGCTCTGCACTGTTAAAAAAGGAGGCAGATTAATTTCTATTATTATGAATATTTATTATTGTCAGCAATTTTAAACATAATAAATGGCTTGAACATTAACACAGCTCTGTGCTTACAGGTAAAAAATAAATAATGTTTAAATTAAAATGTGCTTCTAAAAGTAAATTAGACATGTTCTAAAAAGGTAAAAAGAAAACTGCTGTACTTAAATGTACAGTATTAACATATAGTAGCTTATTCATAAAAACCTGGAAATGTTCCTTGGACCTCATAAATATAAGTTATTTGTGATCATATTCATATATAAAATGTTTTTGAAAATTTTTTTAAATAGATGTAGATTTAGGAATTATTTGTATATATATGAAATTAAAATTTTATTCTTGACGGACGAATGTTTCGGAGGCAGTGTCAATGCGATTCACACAGCATGAGGTCGAATTTATATTTTAACGTGGAAAAATACGGACGAAACTTTCGGATTCAGTGTGCAGTAACTTTTACTGTGAATAAGCATAAACTCACACTCTTTTGAGAAATAAAGGCGGAAGCCAACAAACGTACAATAACTTTAATCATAAAGCAAATACGGAAATAAGTTTTGATCGGAAGTTCCCCTCCCCCCATGGGAACCGACTTAGTTAAGCAAATGTGCCAAAGGCCTTCATCTGCTCCCAAAACTCTTGGTCCTGCCCACACTCAAGCCAACCAATAACAGATCTGAGTCATTGCAATGTGTAGTTACAAGTATTGAGAGGTGCGCGACACAATCTCACTGCAATTTGTAACTTTTTGATGTAGTGGCTAATTCGTATAAATTTGTACAATCTCATTCGTAGAATTTAGTATGATTTGCTCATCCCCCAATAATGGTTGATGGGGTGAGGTTGGGTGCCACGCCACCTTTTTAAAATTGTACATTCTTACGAACTCTTATGAATTAGCCACTAAACTGACAAAACGTAAAATAGTTTTGTTTCCTCATCAGATCAGGCTGTTTAAACCTGGTTTTAAGAATCATTATTGACAATTCGTGACGACAAATTAAACGCGGTCTTAAACTATTGGCTGCTTATTTTCCAAGTGTAAATGCTTCTATAGTCAACATGTGCTCTAACTCAAATTGGTTTTACATTAAACATAGACCCTGTTTACACCTGTTTTAAAGACGTGCTATTTATAATACGATTATTTTTTTTTTTTTTTTTTTTTTTTTTTTTTTTATTAGAATATGCAAAAATCATACAAATACAAGAAAACGTCAACAAATAACAAATACAAAGCAACGAAACAAAAACAAAACAAAAACAACAACAATATAGTCATGTACTGGTATGTGCGTGAGTGTGTGTGTGTGTGAGTGTGTGTATGCATGTAAAGGTAACTTGGTGGACAGGTCAGAGTACATACATAAGGAACAATAACAGTCAATAAATGAAGCAAGTGTCACAGATATAGATAAAACATATAGAAAGAAACCAGTCAGAGGTAGGGAGTAACAACAATGCTTATTAATGTATGATAGTAAAAATTAGAGTAAAAAGAAAGAAAGGACAACAGTAATAACTGACAACAATAATAATAAATCACAAGTGCTACACAAACTACTACTACAAAAAGTTACTTATATTACAACTACTACTGCTTCTACTACAGCCACAACCACGACTACTACTACTACTACTACAATGTCTACTAATACTGATACTACTACAACGACTACCACTACTGATACTACTATAGCGTTTGCTACAACTAATACAACGTCTACTGCTACTACTACTACTACTACTACTACTACTATAATCACTTCTACTACATCTACATCAACAACATCTACTACTGATATTACTACACCAACAACGACTACTACTACTACTGTAACAACCACACCATTACTACTTCTGCTACTACTTACATGAACTACTACTTCAAAAATCTCCGTAACAATTACTCAATAACAATCGATACTATTACACTGTCTACTACTTCAACTACAACTACTACTACTACTACTACTACAACAACTGCAACCTTAATAATGATAATGGTATAAATACTTGTAATAATGATAATGGAAAGATAACAGGACAAGTCAGAACAGTAATAATAATAATAATAATGATTTCAAAAAATAAAAGTAATACCATTTATGACAAAGGTGTCGAGGAGAGGGGAGGATGGGAAAATCAGGGAGAGGACAAGTAATAATAATAATAAATAATAATAATAATAATAATAACAAATAATAATAGTAGTAAGTAGTAAGTTTGAAGGGGAGATAGAGGAAAAGAGAAAATAAACTAATGATAATAAACAAAAATTAATAAAATACTTATAATAAAAATAAATAAATAAAATAAAAAATAAAAACAGAAAAGGAAGGGGAGGAGTAGAAGAAAAAAGAAACAATAAGAGAGAAGAAAAATAAAGTTCAGCAAACAAAGCAACAAGAATCAGCCAAAAAAAAAAAAAAAAAAAAAAAAAAAAAAAAGAATAATAATAATAATAATAATAAAAACTGAATAAATAAAAAAGAAAACACTATATCAATGCTAATTATGAATTATACAATTTTTACATGGAAGAATAATATTAAAGATATGTATGATAGATTATTACTGTAATTTGATAACTATAATATACTCATGCTGGTAATAATACTAATAATAATGATAATAATAAAAATAACAACGGCTGTAACAATAAATTGAGGAGGTTGTAGTTGTGTGATGGGCATTGAGGTATATAGTGTTTGTCAGTTGCTTTGTGATGCATTAAAAAAAGTGTAACGTGTGGCATGGATCAGTCCAGTGCAGTGCCCAGACTGCCATGCCTACGTTACACTTTACCCTGTGAATTTAGTACATGTAAGTAGATTTTTTTTCTTTCCTTTTTTTTTTTTTTTTTTTTTTCCTTTCCCTTTTTTTATCTGTTGTTGGTCAGGAGAGGCACTGGCATATAAATAATAATAATAATAATAATAATAATTTATGTATAGTAATAATAATAATAATAATAATAATAATAAATAGAAAACAAATATTATATATAATAATAATAAAATGAATAAATAACATTGATAGGGACAGGAAAGGGGAACAAATAGAACAAAAGGGAAAGTAAAAAAGTATATAAAGACCGAATTATGATTCTTTTATTTTATTTGTTTACATTATACTTTTTTTCCAATTGATTTATTTATTTTAAATTAGATTAAATATTAGATTTTTTTTTTTTTTTCCTCATCTCTACCTGACCCCCTCTCTCCCCTCCCCTCTTGTTTATGTACTGATGAAGGTGTTGTTAGGGAATGGCTTCAGGCAAAGAGGATCTTCAATGGAGATGTATTCTGTTAACAAGTTTTTCCAGTATGAGATGTGAATGGTATTTCTTGATTTCCAGTTCATGAGGATAGTTTTCTTTGCGATAGTTAGAGCCACCAGCAGAAACTGACCATTTGTATTATTTATATTGATTGTGGATATGTCACCTAATATGCAGAGGGAGGGACACAGTGGGATGTGACAACCCATTAAGTTGGAGAGTGAGTCAGTAACCTTTACCCAAAATGATTTAATTGAGGTGCAATGCCATAAGGCATGAAGATATGTGTCTGGAGTGTTTTGTGTGCAATGTGAACATATTTCTGACGTGAAACCCATTTTAAATAATTTCTGCCCAGTTAAATGTGATCTGTGAAGTACTTTGTACTTTATAAGTTGTAAGTTAGCATTTTTAGTCATGGAAAATGTGTTTTTGCAAATTTG